TTTTTCGCGCCAAACCAGCTCACCACAACCAGATGTGAGTCGTTGACTCCGGTTCATACGATTGAGTTGGAGGCTAGGGATAGTCATCGAACAAAACCATACGTCCTACCACTACCTTTCCGACTTTTGAGTCAAAAACTCAGTGAGGTACCTCAACTCAGTTCGTGAATATACTTGGGACATTCCTATTTCCACACACGACTTATTTTCCAGAAGTCCTCATGCAACCTTTTGGGCTCCTTTGTTCCATATTGTTGTCGGCCCTCGTGGGATGGCAACTTCGACGAAACGGGGCTCTTTGTATCTAAGTTATACCTATAGGAAGATTAATTATATAACGGTGGATGGAACGTGCGCGAAGTATCTGGTCTGGTGTCCAAGTTCCGTCTTTGCATCTGATTAGCGGCGTTCAGTGCTGTCTGTCCCACTTCGTCACGAAGAGACTGGACCTTACCGGGGTGTGACGGTTTGCGCACCTCAGCGATCCGTTGAGCGATACTGGAGAGTGTCTCGCGAGACCCCCAATCATCGGTGAACGAAACTGTGGCAGCTACAACCAGTGTATGACGAGTACGCGGTTCTTACAGCTGACAATGATGATGATGATGACCTATCACCGGGCCCAACTGTGAGAGCAAACATCAAGGAGCCGAATGAAGCGACCACCTTTAATAAAGAAGAATGCCTGTACCGCTGGGCCGAATGCTTCAAACAACTAATCTCATGGTCATCAGCTGCCACTCGTCTGGAGCCTATCGTGCAGTTGTAACACCCTTTCGGTGTCTAGCTGGCATGACACCTGAAGGAAGCACAAGGGCTGAGATACTTTCAGGTTGCGAATCCCTAGACGGGAGAAGTAGAGAGGCATAGGTCAGATTCGAACGACGGACCTTCCAGTCAGTAAATTCGCACTCATACCACTGAGCCTACAGCTGATAAAGAAGCCTGGACGTTGAACGTGAAACCTTCTGGGACTCGGCGTTTTATGACTGCATATGTTCTCTCAAGCGCCACCGAGCCCATTTTCCGGATGACCTCCCAATTGCATCGTTCGAAGGTGGGGATGCAGTTCTCAGTTAGCGCCGCATTTTGGCAAACGAGACTGACCCAGACAAGTGGGAACAGGTGGTGATGGTGCGCATTTTCGAAAAAGATATTCGCAAAAAGAGTGACAACCCCTGTTGAAACGGGAATTTCGGCGTCACTTCTGAATCGTCGCCTTATGATGGCTCTTGAATAACTGGCTCGAGAGCAACAAACAGGATTCCTGGCAGGTAGAGGACTAAATTTTCACCCTCCATTAGAGTAATATCATACCTACAAATTACCACAATTTGAGCGTTCTTGGATTTCACAGGCGCGGTGGCCGGTCTATTATCCTTAAAACACCGGCCCACCAGGGAATGCCCCAGACCTTTGTGAACATAATACGTTCTTTGTATTCTCAGACTTCCGGACGTGTGCGATTATACGGAGATCTCCAAAATCTTCCGAACACAAAGCTGTCTTCGTCAGGGATGCCCACCCTCTCCGCGGTGCCAAATCAGTTTTCAGGCCAAAACGTCCAGTACCGTATGCAGCCTTACTTATCGTTGACCAGCAACTGGACCGACTACAGAAGGCTGGTGTTCTTCAACCGACCATCTGATCTGCATGGACCGCACCGATCGCGTTGGTGAAGAAGGCTAACGGGACCATCCGGTTGTGTGCAGATTTCTCCACCGGTCTCAATGCTGCACTGGATACCCATCAATACCCTCTACTTCCTCCAGATGATTTGTTCGCGTAACTGGATGGGGGTAGATGTTTTGCGAAGATTGACTTGGCCGATGCATACCTCCTGGTTGAAGTTGAGAAAGAATCCCGAGAACTGACGATCAATACGCATTGCGGTCTGTTCCAGTATACTCGACTACCATTCGGTGTCAAAAAAGCGCCAGCCATATTTCGACAGATCATGGATACGATGCTGAAGGATGTCTCCGACGTTGCTGCCTATTTGGACGATCTCATTGTCATGGGTTTCAACCCCCATGAATTGTGGCAGCGCTTTGATTACGTGCTTGGTCGTTTTAAATAATATGGCTTCAGAGTGCGCCGAGAGAAATGCACCTTCTTCATGTAGTCAATAAAGCAGCTTGGTTTCATCATTGACTAACATGGCCGCCGACCAGACCTGGAGAACATCGGAGCAGAAAGCCAAGGGACCGATACGATCGTTCAGCAAATCACAACACCTAGATTGTAAGTGGCGTGTTTAGTGAGTGCATATCCAGGGACATGAGCATACACACTGTGGGCGCAACCTACCAACCAAAGGACGAGACTACGTTGGTCAGGTCGTCCAAAAAATACCTGTGTCTGTTCTTCGAAGATGGGAACGATGTCGACGAGCGTGTCCATTCCGAATGCTTGTCTCTTAGGAAAGCTCTGTTCCTTCTTTGGGAGCGCACGTGTCTATTGCAAATTCTCTCCCGAGTTCATCACATCCAGTGGTATCGGACAGAGGTCCCTACTACTGCCCTTTATGTTTAACTTCTTATTGTTGCGCACTCAAATGATCGAACCAGAACTAGAGAACGAGAATTGGCGAATAATTGGCCTTAATCTCCCAACGATTTCAGTACATCAGCTAAAACATTAGAAATCACAGTTAGTTTATTGAATAGCGAGTAAACAGTTTTGCACAACGTTATTATATAACACTTATTAGCTCTGCTGCTTGAATCTTCTTTACCTACCTCTGATACCTATGTGATTGAATTAATACCGATTCGTTCGCTCACGGTCACTGAGTACGCCGGTGATATTTCTCTTCTGCAATCAGACCCTCTAGAAATGCAACTTATTTCAACCTAAATAATGCTGTAGCACAGTTCGGTGTATGCTTCGAACCCTTTATTTGTGAAATGCTCTGTCAAATTTCGATGGGACCACACCCAAACCTTATACTGACAGGTGAACCGATCCATGTAACCGTTAAGTTCGTTTACCTGGGCAGCTGCATAAGTACCGACGGTCTGACGAAAAACGGAATCACTTACCGGATGAGAAGGCCAGGTCGGCATTTACTGACCTCCGAAATTTGTGGCGCTGACTGTCAAGGGTAGAGTGTACAATACCGCGGTCCGATCTGTCTTACTCTAAAGATCGAAGACGTAGCCACTGTGCGTGGAGGACCTTCGAAAGTTCTCTGTGTTTGACCATCGCTGCCTTCGCAGGTTACGCTAGTCATTCCATGTACTTTGTTTGTCAGAGAAGCGTCTATCTCGTAGCGACCCCTTCGTCCAACATTGTGTCGGATGGAGACAACCCAAATGCGATCAGTGCGTTACTTAAACTGTGAACATGGATGTGTCATTCAATCGGGTCGCGTTGGTAAATGCCGTTTTCCCGAATAGGGACCGCAGGACGAGATAAACCAGTGCTTAGTTCTAACACTTAGTGGTCCTGGCATATATGGCTGTTTCACGCAGCCAACGGCGGCCTTACATCAAGGATATCGCCTTCAGCGCGTAGTCCTCAGTCCCTGACTCACTAGACAAACAGAACCATTTAAAGTCACCTCACGGATTGGACCATCACCCCAAACGCGTGGCTTCCACTCCCTTGCTTTCATTATGCTTGGTGAACGAAGCGGTAGCAGCTGGAACCATCTCATCTCGATGCACTGTTTGCGAGCTGAAAATAACTTAACCGAACTTTAATCCAGCAAGGAAGTGTCAGAGAACCAACTCTCGGTTCTATTCATCTTGGTGTCTCCCAAAGTGTGAAGATGGAAACATCCAGCCGGCAGTCGGAGATCCTCGCTAACTCACGAAGTCATTTGCACTCTTGTATTCGTTCTATCATGATCAGTCGCTGAAATTACTTTTTCCGTTTCGTATTCGATACTGTGATTTCACCCTTCTCTATCGGCAGTCGGAGACTGGCGAACAGGATCAGTGTACGTTTGTGCAGGGCTCATAATTTTAATGGAAGGAATTCGCATCTCCAGCTTTCTCCGAACAGTGGTACGTTTGCTTTTGTTTATCAGTCTTCCCTTTCTGTCAACTTCAGGATTTTTTCATTCTTTTTGCAGAACTGATCGAACGGTCGTACTGAGTTCGGCTGAATCGACATTTTGGAAGCTATCTTTCGTGAAGTAATGGTAATGTCGAGGGGTTACCAGATTGACCTCGATGCCCTTCCTGATAATGTTAGTGCAGAACTACTGACGCCACCAGGTAAGCATCTCTTCTTGGATGCATTTCGTGTTTGTGGATTTCTCCGTTTTTTATATCTCAACCTGTCGTTTTTTTTAGAACAAAGCCAAAGTGCGGTACATTTATATCCCTCAGATCCACTATCGTCTGTTTTAGTGGTTATCTCCTACTACTTCTGGTCCTTCTCACTGGTTAGCCTCTCTAAGGGGAAATTGCAGCGTGGTTGTGAGATCGTGCTACTCGGTTTGGTGCTATTATTACACAGACATATCGAACAAAGTTCGCAAACCAATTTTCTTTTAAGTAAGTGTTACGGTTCGA